CATAGGAAAAGGTGAGTGTGAATGTGTTTTGATAGGCAAGTTTCTCAGATGACCCACCTCACACAGAGCCCAGTCTCCCTCACACATTATTATTGCACACTATACTTCAGTTACCTTTATTTCCTACTTCACTGGCAGGAGACAGTCTGCAGTCTCATTGTGTTGTTGTAACTGACGAATGGAGCGAGAGCTTGTGAGGGTATTAGCACCGAATGACAATGGTAATTGTTTGATTGTCTTAGCCCCGGGAAGCAAAGGATAAGCGGCGATTATCAGGAGATTGATTGTCCACACTCAGCGTCTACTTAGGTGCTTCAGAGACTGATCCAGGTAGTTTTTGCCCTGCATCATTATATATGCAGGGCATAAACTAAGAAGTGAGCTGCCACACAAAACCCCTCGTGTAAAAAAAACCTTTTCCTTTTAAAAAAGAGGAATAGTTTCGGCGAAAACTAAAAGGTACCATGGGGTCAGATTATAATTTTCCAAAGGGTGGTTCATTTAGCATGAAACACTTGAATTAACTAAAGGACAAGTTAAAAAATAAAGTAGAAAGAAAGGGAGGTGATAGAAAACAATTTCTGCTAAAAAGTTAACAATGATTGAATCAGACCTAAACATTCCAGATGTGTGTAACTCACACACTGCACTGTAATTTTTATTAATGTATCTTTGCTTTTAATTTTTTTTAAATGTCATTTCATAATATGTTTCGCTCTTAATGTCTTTCATATTTGTAAAGCACTTTGAATTGCCTTGTGTTGAAATGTGTTATATAAATAAACTTGCCTTGCCTTTCTGACTTTTTCAATCTCCTATAACTTCTTCCTGGCGGTTATTTCTAACACAGACTTTCTCTTTTTGTAATGACTGGTCTCCAAAAATCTGTCTGCCTTCACGGCACATCTGCCAGCTGCTCCTTCCCATCTTCAAGACTATCCAATGCTAGATGGACTTAGCAAGTGGCTGGCAGGCAGAGGTGTGGATAAATGAGGTTGAGGGAAGAAAAGGGAGCGGAAACAAGGGGGGGGTGGGGTTGTGGACCGTATCCATTCTGGCTTCATGAGGGCAAATTGGCCTCTAGTTAAAACGGCATTAGTGATTTTTGCTTTAACTTATCATAGTGTTGGCTATAGAATAATTAAACCCATCCGCCTTTAGATTGGTTCCCCATCAGCATCACTTTATTATGCAATTCAGTTTTGCATCCGGGTGGTCTATGATCTGCCAAGAAAATTAATTCTCCTTTAAAGGCGGAAAAAGCCAACTCTTTCTGCTAATGAAAATATCCATCAATAGCTCTGATGCGGCTTTCACACCAGCGCTTTTTCCCTTTCGAGCCCCGAGCTAGAGCTTTTCTGGTTCAGCTCCGGTTTCCCTTTTCTGCTCCCGCTCTGTTCACACCGCCCAGCACCCGACTGGTGCTGCCGCTGCTGCGTCATGACGTCACAGTTTAAATCGCTGATTTGCTCCCCAACGGCATTACGGCGCTCACAACAACGGGGAACTGCGTCGGGTCGATGATCGTGTTGCTTTTAATCACACGAAGCCAGAATAAATTGAATAACGACTTCTCCAACCTTATACTTTGCTCCAGAGTGCCGTGGTTCATTGTTTATTAATGTGTTTCTGCAGCATTTACCGACCGCTGCAGTGTTGGCTGCTCTTCCACGGGAGTTTATTCTCCTCCGTTAGCTCCCGGTTAGCTCACACTGCAGCGGCCGCTCTAAAGTATTCACTGTCCGACTCACACAAGCAGCTGATACATATCCCCAGTTCCCCTTAGCCTAAGTGAATGTGTGTCAGTCTGAATTGACGCTGTTTGGTATCACAACGCTGTTATGAAAGTTTCTCTGGTATAAAATGGGTGATGTTTGCATAGCAACCGAAGCTAAACTGACTACTTGCTATTGCTATCCTATTGTGGCATAAACCGTTTTCTACAGGCACATTTTACCGGCGTATTTTTATTATGATTCTACTTGTGATAGTCGGACACGACAACCTGTGCAGCCCATGTATTGATTCCATCCGATAGCTGCTATAATACAAAACAAAACATCTGCCTCTCCACAATGATCAATAACAGTGAACGGATGGTCAAAGTAAGGTACAAATAAACAGAATCACACGAAGCCTGGTTAGTGTTGCCTGACTTTATAAAGTGTGTTTATAAGCACTACTGCTTGTAGGCAGGCATGACAGTCGACCCATGTTCAGGGGAGGAGGGTTTAGTTTCCTGCACGCCTCGACGTAAGAGAGACGTAAGCGACGCCACCTCTTAGCTCCGAAAGCTCTTGCCTCTAGACCAGTGGTTCTCAAAGTGGGGGCGCCCCCCCCCCCCCCTCTGGGCGGCGCAGAGGCATGCCAGGGGGGGCGTGAGAGACCAGGAGGAAAAATGGCTATAAAAAAATATTTAAAAAAAAATCATAAATTGAAAAATTATTGATTCGAAAATAATATGATGCAGTACTATTACGTCTGGGTCTCTGTGTTTCAATAAAGCTCGGCTCTGCGTGTGTGTGGAACGAGCCATTTTGTGTGCGCGAGCGAGAGACGCACCGGTACCGGAGATCGTTGTTGTTAGCTTCCGGTGCTAGCGAGCTACGCTAACGGATATAAGGAGTTTTTTCAACAACAAGGTGGAGGAGAGTCCTCTCCTGTCAGACTGAGAGGCTCAGTGAACTAAAGGACAGTGTTATCTCAGTGGGTCTCAAACGTTTTGGTCACCATTAATGTAAACAATTATTTCCGAGGCACACGTTTATATGATCATTAGAGTTATAAAAAAATAAGAGAATAAATGAAAAACAGGTATGAAATACTATATGACAGTAAAACAAGAATAAAGTTTAAAAGGGTGATTTGTAAAATATCCATAAAGAAAAAGTAAATCTGTTTCAAATGGGTGTTGAGAGATGTATCCATAGATCTCTTCATTTTGCTCTGAAAGTGCACCAGATTGATGCTTTTAACTTCAATATTTAAAAATAAATCTTCCCGGGGGAACTTGCCCCCGGACCCCCCTATGTGAGGTCCACACACCACCTATAAAAATAGTACTTTACCCCTGCTTACACTATGCGGCGAGCTGATTATCGAGCCTTCATTGTAACAGTTGCGGGTACGTTGTGTATTTGCGTGGGGAGTGTTGCAGTAGAAAATTCCACTGTAGCGCCCGGTACCTTAATGGGAAACCCTAAATGTTTGAGCACCCTCTATGAAACGTCAAGCTACCCCACAGCACCCCCAAAATAAATCTCTGGCGCCGCCACTGAGCCTGACTTGTGTTGGGGGGGCCAGACTTTCTTTTTTTTCTCCAAAGGGGGGGCCTGACAGAAAAAGTTTGAGAACCACTGCTCTAGACCGACAATTTTTTGGAGCTGGAAGTGAACCGGATTCTGGAGCTAAGAGCCGGCGCCGCTGCGGTGTGAAAAGGAAAAACCGGCGCTTTTCAGGCTCCAGCTCCGAGCCGGAGCTGAAAAAGCGCTGGTGTGAAAGGGGCATGAGTATAGAAAGGGGGGTAGTAGTGATGGACATACAGTAGTTGCCATCGGACTCGGTTCCTCTTTAAGGAGCTTTTCATTTTTAAAGTCTGCAATTGTACTGTTTGAAGTAGTCTTACTGCTCTCACCTGAATGGTTTCCAGCCACAGCAGACAGCTCATGCAAAGATAGCACAGTTAATGAACATAGTGGGGAATTGAGCTGCCAAAGAGCCAGATGTTTCCCTTAGGAATTAGTGGCAAAGGGAAAAAGCAGAGCTATAAGTAGAGTGAACATTATACTGCAATTTATAAAACAACTACATCAATCCTTTTGATGCCGTGAGCGACTCATCAGAAAGTTTCTCTTGGAGATATTTTCTTAAGATGTTTATGAGAAATTGTATGGATTTTAGTTCAAATCCCATGACCAAAATTGACCGACAAACAATCTTTTACTTACGGCTGATATTGATGTTTAATGTTGAATTATTCTCAATTTCAGCTTTGCATTTGACACTGATGATGACTCAATTCTTTAACATTTGCCTTAAGAAGTGGGTTTGCATCAGGACACTGCTCTAAACTGGTCAAAATTATCAAACAAATCTTCAGTAATGTTGAACTCTGGCGTTCCCCAAGTTTTCATACCTGCCCCCCTTTTCTTGTGTATATATATGTTTCCATTAGGACACATCATTCATAAATAAGCTCCATTGTTATGCAGATAACACCTAAATGTTTGTCCAATACACATTTTTAAAAATACAATAAAAAAGAAACTGCAAAGTACGAAATATTTACAACCTTGTTGTGTTCAAAGTTTCTAACACTTCTACAGCTAAATGAAAACACATTTTAAACAGTTGTATTTGGTCCCACAAAGTCATACCCTATTTTGTTATAACATATTATCTCTCTGTCTACAAATGTTAAACCTGCACCCAGACACCTGGGTGTTTTATATTTCACAGTGACCTTTCTTTCGAAAAATGGATGGCAAGGTCACGTTTTTATCAGCTATAGATAATCTCAAATCTCATTCATGCTTTTATTTCATTTCGGTCGGAATGTTGTTATTTATTGTATTCAAGGTTAAGCAAAGAAGAAACGCACATTCCTGGCCTCCAGCTTGTACTGAACACAGCTGCTCGGCTTTTCAACAAATACTAGAAGACAATATAATTTCAGCCCTGCTTTAGCCTTCCTTCACTCATTACTTTTATTTTATATTACATATTTGATTACGAATTTACTGAATGCTTCTTAGGCACAGTTGCAGCTCCAATAAAAGCAATAAACCAGCTTGGCTATTAAAAACAATGGTTTGTGTTAACTGAAAAAGACCCTGTCTCAAAGCATTCAAATTAATGAAATTAATCTTAACCTTACCACTAATGACTTTTTTGGTATTATTAGAAACTTTGCCGATCTTCCATTGTTTTTCCTTTTTCCAGTATTTAAATCAACTTGTAATTGATTGGTTGATTAATCTGCTGTCACTTTGTTTCTCCAGAGTTGACAATACTTTCTCCAGGACCAGAAGCTTGTGGTGAGTCCTTCTCTTTTTTTATTGAAAAATAACATTATGCATCACATAATTTAGTTACATGCTTGACTGATCCCGACATCCTCCTCCCAAATTCTGCATTTCCATATTCGGGGTTATGCTGCAATACATGACTTACCACCGTTTTGATAAGTTATCTAACGTCACTCATCATAAAGCAGAATGAAGCATGACTATAATTGTATGGACTGGCTCAATTCTACATCCTGAAGTTCACATTTAAATACATGTGTCGTGGCTTCCTTCCTTGTCTTTCTATCAAGCCATTAGACGCCCTAAACAGACAGTTCTAACTCATTTATTTCCTTTAAATTACTTACAGTTTGAAGGGTTGCTTGGCCTCCAATGGTTTAGATGATGTTGCGATGTGTTTGCTCAAAATAAAATAACAAACTTTTGCACATGCAACAAAGAAAATAGGCCTTTACAATATTCAAAAGAAATAGGCAAAACTCAAATAAAATAATAAACAACTTAGGTATTCTTTCTTTCTTAATAATGCTTATATAACTTCATAACTTAAAGGGTACTTGTACGATTTGTATGTGTAGTACGTGTACGTGTACGGTTAAAAACTGTTCCTCGACGGCGTCTCTCAAACAGGTTGCCCATGACTGTGGCTTTAGCGCAGGCGCCTTGGGAATTGTAGTCTTGTTGTGGTTATTTAACATCTTGCCAGGGACAATAGTTGAAACAACAATATGTCTTCCTGTTGAAATACATTTCAATAATTGCAACCAAGTCCACTCAGCATCAGGATAGCCTTTGATGTTCCCATCAATTTAAAGCTATGTTAGTTATTTTAGCTTATACTCCAAGAAGTAATGTGATGAAAGGTGGTATCCTTACTCGAATATTCTCATACGGTGCTTTTTCTTAAAATGAGTTTCTCACAGTCTTCTCTTATGGCCTTAGACATTTGCATATGATTTAAATGGAGACAGTGGAGCTTGTAATGTTTCCTATTTGGCAGGAAGTCTCACAGCACGGAGAAGCAAATGTGTGGCTGTAAATACAGGTGGCAAGAGCAGAGAAATGTGACATGGGAGCACATGCCTGTCATACCAGCTGGTCATCTGTGACCAACACGTTCTCACTCCCAACCCGTCACATGTTGACGGTCGGTCAGGGCCCCTCCCCGTCGCAATCATTTACAAACTTTTCAACTACAACCTGTAAGGGAAACTTCTGCAGCAATGGAGAGTCAGGACTCAGAGAGACACGAGGAGAGTTGGAGCTTTGATGTCAAACAATGATGTTTATTACAAGTCAACGGCCGGAGAATTCATATCACAAGTCACAGCAGCAAAAGGTTCTGACTGCACGGGTGGGTTGTCATGTCAATTCTGATCAGCCTATCTCTCGATTTAACTAGTTTACAGAGAGTTAATGAGCATATTGGGGCGTTAACACCTGGAGACACTGAATGACTTATCTGACTCTTAGGCTCTGTGACCGAGAGTTGACCGGTCATAAAACTAAGACTAAGTGCTGGAGCACATTCCTTAAAGCTGGCGTCACAGATCAGGGTTAGTGATAAACGTCAGCAGGCAATAAGGTTAAATATCTTAGGAGTAAGGAAGAATTATTCTTTGACACTTAGGAGTAAGACAGAAATATTCCCTTACACAACCCTAATTATATATATTTTTAAATTAGAAGGCCTCACAAAATACTTTAATGTAAATTAAAATGTAAATGTGAAGGGATGTGTGTAATCATTACAATGTGTAATGTGGTGATTGACATTATTCACCCACGGATCTATGGGTTGGGGTATTGTTCCGCACGGACATTTTAGTTAACCGGACTTCCTGTTGATTTAAAAAAAAAAAATAATACTTTATTCGGAGTTTGCTTGCTTTTCTCTTTGGAGGTCATCACATAACGGTATTGTAATACACGGTTCGGCTGCATTAAATATTACACATCTGCCGTAGTTCGCTATTTATAGAGCCCTGATGAGAAGACTTCTAGACAAACAGGAATAACTGCCGCCGAAACTGAATATGTGACGTGGATCATAAATATATCAATTAAACTAAATCTTCAATTTCTCTTCACAATATAAGTCTTCTTGCTGTATCAATACTAATTCGATTGACTTTTATATTCGTTCCAATTGGTATATTGGTATATTTACACCATAACGGTGCACAGCCGATAGAAAGGGACACCTGGTGGTTAAAGCACGTTATTGAAATGTATTTTTTTTTTTTATTAGATATTATAGGAGACACAGACAGACAAAATAATAAGGCTTTATTTAAGCATTCAATAATACTTTAGGTTAAGGTCTTATTTTGAATAAGAAAAAAGCTTTGGGGGTATACATATTAAGCCTGACAAAGTACTAATATATTGCTTCCCTGCAATGTTAACTACTGTATGTTTAAGCACTTATTTTAACTGATATTATACATATGTATTATACTCTTATAAGATGTATGTAGATAGTATAAGAAATGTGCAGAATATGACAGTTTAATGGTGGAGGTATACATTACACACATATTGATAGATGTCTTGTAATGCACTGTTGAGGAACCTGTGACCCAAGTTCTTCATCTCCGACCTTGTCAGGTATTGAACATTAAATAAATAAAGAACACAGAATTATTAAATATAAAACACAGAATTTGTGTGATTATACTAAATGATGACTATTACAAATAAACACCACTGCATATTTACAACTGTTACACATGCTGATGTAACGCAAATGTTTCCAACTTGGGATCAATAACGAATATCTTATCTTAAGACGATCGATGGCTACTGCCATATTTACAAAATGTGTCTCTGAACCTTGATAAGTGCATGTTTCAGGCTTATTAATTAACAACAGGAGGGGTCACAGCAGAGGTTGCGCTAGACCAGAGTCATTTTGACGGACAGGATCGTAAAATGTCCATCAAAATTCAGTATTACCCATCGGCCTTTACACTCTGGGGGGGGGGGGGGGAGAGAGAACTGTCAACCGGGGGGGGGGGGGGGGGGGAGCGAGCACAGTCGTGAACTGTCAACGGGGGCGGGGCGCACGCTCGTGAACTGTTAGCGCCGTGTTATGCATGCCCACTGCACCTCGCGGGAGTGCGCACAGCGTAAAGCCAAAACTCACAGATATTTCAATGATTTGTACGGCAAAGTTGGGTTAGGAAACGGTATCATTTCCTTTTTGGCAGGCATGCTTAACACCGGAGCCTCGCTGCTGGGAAACTTTGGCGCTGTTCCGAGTTTGTTCTATTCCGTCAAAATGACGGACTGCTTTCAGATTTTTCCGTCATTGTTAAAAAAAATCCGTCATCGACGGAACATATTCGGTTAACGCGACCACTGGGTCACAGACATAAGACCAACTGTTAAATAAAGCTCTTCTGACCTTAGCTGGCATGTGGGTATATATTAATGCTGCCCATTATGGGCACAAGCAATTTTCAAACAAACATTTGAGTGTTTCCTATCCCCTAAACCTCCAGGGATGTATGGACGGGGTGGACTCGTTCAAATCCAGTTTTGGACAGTCTGCCGTGGTTCCATCCCGTTTCAAAGTGCTGTTCGACCCTCGGCGTAACCCTCGGCGCACACTCAAACATCCAATCACAGAGCTTGAGGACTATCACGGTGTTTGTCCAGCGAAGCGGAGAGAATACTTACTTCCGGGTGTACAATTCTCTAAAGCAACTACTATGAGCTGCTCCGACCCTCGGTCCTGACGGACTCCAACTTGTGTTTATTAATCAAACAAATAAATAAACACAAGGATAAGTATGTGTTATTGTTGAGTAAATAACAGTGTGTGGTTTAGAAAATAATACAAAATTAGAAGGAAAAAACAATACAGATTTCAGTATTCTGAGCCCCTACTCTCCCCATAACTGACGGCAACAAAAGTCCTACATTATTCAATTAAAATAAAGAAGAAAAAACAATAAGTGTGGCTTGATATTGAGTAAGAAAAAGGTTGATAAACGCTGTGAGAATGGATCTGCGGAGAGCATTTCACCGCGATCCCAACTCCTCTATTACCAACGTTCAGGGAACTCTATGCGAGTCAATGGGACTCCCTGATAGTTGAAAACTGACTCTCAAGGGGTACCCTGTGCGTAATAGGGTGACGGGGAGGGGCCCTGAACGACCGTCAACATGTGACGGGTTGGGAGTGAGAACGTGTTGCTGTGACACACCTTTTGAGCCCTCAATCAGAAAGATACAAAGTATCTCTTTAACGCAGGTATATATTTGCAATAATTTATTTTATATATTCTACTAAGTAATGAGGTTGTTGGTTTTTGATAACAGACTGGTTAAGGAGAACAGACTGTTGCTAAGGATGATCAAGAGACTGTGTGTGTGTCATATCAATCCGCATGTCATAGAAGTACATTTACCATCAGCTGTGGAGAACCAACATTAGTTTTCTCCATCAGAAAACACCATGGAATACTTTTGAATATTTAATTGTTTTATTTATGGAGCGAATTAAACTTTGGATTCTTGAAAGCCACACTGTCCCTAGAAAAGAAAAACAGTGCAGGAGAAGGAAAGAGGTTAAAACAGAGCGCTGGACCTCAGAGAAATCAACAGAAGAAGAAAGAACAAAAGTAAACACTAACAGCAACATGATCTGGCCTCTGGCATTGTTCAAAGACTGGTTAGTGGAAAATAAACTGTGACCAGACTGGACATTTACTGAAAACCTTGATCTTGGCTGCCGTCATTTTTAGTCACGTGGCTGTCGCCGCAGTTCCAGCCGTTCAAATAATTGTTATATCAATATTGTGAGTCAAGTCCTTTTAGTAGGTAGGTGTTTAAGAACTGTTGGTGTTTTTTTTTTCATTATTGACCGCCTTGATGCTCAAGTTATATGTAGACATGCTAATAAGCACAGCGTCTTATGGCATAGATTCAAGCCAGCGCATGTGAATGCTTCCATAAACACTTACCTTCTGTAATTAGCATGGGTAATTAGAAGGGGACAA